ATATAATTTTTATGAAATATTTTTAATGAGATAAAAGCAATATGAATTTTGGAAAGGAAGGAAAGAAAATAAAGAAAAGTGATGAGTAAGTGAAAAGGAAATAGAAAAAGAAAAGAAAAAACAAAAAGTTTCATTATATCTATATATTTAGACATAATTAAAACAATGTCCTATGATAAACCTCAGGAGATGAGACCTTTGCACAGACTTTCCCGTATCTACTTGCCAGGACCCTGAGATGTTCACCTGATACCTTCTCCACATGCCCCTGTTCAATGGGTCAAGGCTGGTGGCCAGAAGACAAAAGGCCTTTTCGTGGAAACTCTAGGTCTGATCCAAGATCAGCTGGACCATTGTCACCATGCATGACTTTCTTAAATGGTACTGAGAAAACAAGAAGCATACAGATCCACCCTCCCATTATCTCATCAAGATCTTCAGAAAAATGGGGCAATCTCCTGGAATTGGGGATTTCCTTGGCAGATATGATGGTGCATCCTTCAGGATGAGGCTGGGCACGAGGGACATTTGCCTCTGTGATCATTTATTCAGTCTTATTTCCTAGATGAGCCAGAACTGCTCTTGCTCTTACCTTGGATATCTGGATACGTCACCATGAGGAACAAAGCCCAATACAGAGAACCTCCTGCTGTGTCTGTCCCAGCAACAAAGAATTCCAAAATGCAATGAGCCATGTTTTCATGATCAAAGGTAGAGCTGGGCTCACTCTGTTTCTAACAAAGGGGGAGATTGCAATTAGAATTATTCATTATTTTGGTGCTTTTGAATCAGTCTTGACTCCTGCTGATTGCCTGGACAAGTCCCCGCAGTCTTCTTGGCAAGATTTCAGAAGTGGTTTGCCATTGCCTGCTTCCTACAGCTGAGACAGAGTGACTGGCCCAAAGTCACCCAGCTGGCTTTGTGCCTAAGGTGGGACTAGAACTCACATTCCCTGGTTTCTAGCCTGATGCCTGAACCACTACACCGAACTGGTTTCTAATTAACTGGTCTTAATTAGAATTAGGTATATGCAAAATCTATTTTTTCAGGAATAGATCATTCCAGAAAAATCTGGAACTTTCCACTTTGTCTCTGGATCATGTTGATTGAGCTGTTGTGATCCACAATAAAAGCTAATTTCCCAGAAGCGAACCCTATACACTGGAAGTAGCTCATGGGATTCGAAATGACACAGGATCGTTTCAGCAGTGAAACCCACATGGAATGCCATGAATTGCTTCCAGATCAAAGAAATCACTGAACCATCTGGAACCACCAGGTTGGCACGGCTGGAGAAGAAACAGAATGTTCTGCAGTTCTCTGTAATGTTCCATTCTCAGAACAGAATGTGCATCCCTGTTTATCATGTACAGGTCACACTGAAGATTATCTGATCATTGTGCTACCCTCGTGTGATGACATCAAACAGCTGGTTCAGGGTGTTTTTGAATACTTGGTTCTTAATTTTGAATTAATTTACAAGAAGCCATGAGACCAAAGTAAGTTCCATTGATCACCTTTAATAGGGAT